CCCTAGCTGAACTGAAACTGAATTTTCTTCCCATGTGGGAGGGGAGGACTCCAGTTTCCATACTCACAGAGTGCCTTGCACCTGCCCTAGATTGAGGACATATTTTTGTAATTGATGAGTGCTTTCCTCTGTTAGGAGATCTGTGGTTAGGAAAGGCCTTCCGTATGTTAACTCGACAGGACTTCATTATAAATTTGACTTTGGAGCAGTTCAAACCCGCAGTAAGCTATGGGTGTTAGAGACAGTCAGGCCTCTGATTTAGCTAGAGTCTTCTTTAGAGTAGGACTAGCCCTTTCACCTTTCCAGAGGACCGCGGTCTCCATGCAGAGTGAAGGTAATAGCGGCCTCCACGCAGAGTGAAGGTAATATTGGATTCTTCAAGCTGAGGATAGGTGTTGGGATACGCCTGCCGCAAAAGATGGGCCATTGTCACTTTGCAGGCTTTTAGATGACCCAAACTGAGGAGCTATTTCTTCTGGTAAACATTTTTCAGATGGGATGGGGAATGCCTCGATCTAACCAGTGAAGGTATCAGTGAGCATCAGCAAATATTTGAATCTCCTGCAGAAAGGCATCTGAGTAAATTAGAGTTGCCAGTTCTCACCTGGATAGGTTCCTCAATGTTGGACAGGTTTAACTGGAGAAGGAGAAAATTGCTGGCCATTTGGGTCTTGTCAGGCACAGAGCATGCAGGTGTCAGCTGATTGATTCTGTGTGGATTGTTTTCCTTGGAGTGGGGGTCTTGTCTTGGTGTCCCTTCATGGTGTTGCTGAAAGATGTTGCTGGAAAAGAGGGTCCTGATACAGACCACAAAGTAGGATTCTTAGATCTTGTGCAGGAAAAAAATTGAGGTGAGTCAGCACAGTGAAAGAAGCAAGTTTATTAGAAATGACTTCATTACAGAGTTGGACATCCTCAGAAAACAAGAGCAGGAATGTACTGTCTTTTGTTAGTGTCTCTACTTATAAGTAACTATAAACAGAAAGAGTTATAATTAAACTTGGAAGGTGCAGATGTACTCACCAAAGTCAGGGGTTATTTGTTTTAACAATGACCGTTAACCTGTTGACCTAAGCTAGCTCATTAATATTATCCTTACAAAAAAAAATGCTGCACTCCTAGGACATTTATACACTTTTCAGACTTGGTGGAAGATGTCTTGTTTGGCCACAAATATTCTGCAATTGTAATTTGTGGCCAGCTAAAAAATGTGGCTATTTGCAGACCATAAGTATTAACCTTCTAGATGCCTTGTGAGTACCTATGTATTTATTTATTATTATTTTGAGACGGAGTCTTGCTCTGTTGCCCAGGCTGGAGTGCAGTGCACCACTTTGGCTCACTGAAACCTCTGCCTCCTGAGTTCAAGCAATTCTCCTGCCTCAGATTCCCAGGTAGCTGCGATTACAGGCATGAATCACCACACCCAGCTAATTTGTGTGTCTTTAGTAGAGATGGGGTTTCACTCTGTTTGCCGGGCTGGTCTCAAACCTCTGACAACAAGCGATCTGCCCACCTTGGCCTCCCAAATTGCTGGGATTATAGGCATGAGCCACCGCTTCCAGCCACAATGAGGTTTTTAAATAATTCAAACTGATTTCCTGCTGTTGAGCAAGGAGCTGAGCAAATCCAACAGATCGTGGGCCTAAAGTAGGAGAAGACTGAGGACAAACTCTAGAACATGTGATTAAATTAATTACAATTGAAACCAAATCAAATTTAATGAGGCTGTACCTCTTCGTTTCAAGATGTTTCCCCTCATTTTGAAATGTGGTGTTATTCGGTGGAAAAGAAAAATAGTGTTTATCTCCAGAGTAAAGAACAGGGTTCTCTGCAGGGATTGATTGAGAGCTATGGCTCGGGATTAAAAATCCTTTTTTCTACTTATAAACTAAAAATTATTTTCTAAGCTCCTATTGACTAAATGGATCCCTCTTCTTGGATAAGGACTTTCCAAAGTTAACCTGAAAAGCTGGTTCAAGCCATGGGTCACACATGCCTCATTATACTCTCCTCCCTTTGGTTTTAATTTTAATTTCAGTTTTTAATTTATTTTTGTGGGTACATAGGTGGTGTATGGGGGTATATAACATACTTTGATACAGGCATGCAGTGAGTAATACGTAATAAAAATGGGGTATCCATCCCTTCAAACATTTATAGCTTGTGTTATAAACAATCCAATTATACTCTTTTAGGTTTTTAAAATGTAAGTTAAATTATTTTTTACTATAATCACCCTGTTGTGCTATTAAACATTGTCTTATTCATTCTTTCTAACAATTTTATTTTACCCATTTAGCATCCCCACTATCCCCCGTTCCCTCACTGCCCTTTCCAGCCTCCGGTAACCATCCTTATACTCTCTATCTCTATGACACCAATTGTTTTGAATTTTAGCACCCACGAATAAGTGAGAACATGTGACATTGGTCTTTCTGTGCCTGACTTATTTCACTTAACATAAAGACTTTCAGTTCCATTTATGTTATTGCAAATGGCAGACTCTCATTCTTTCTTATAGCTGAATCATACCCGATTGTGTATATGTACCACATTTTCTCTATCCAGTCATCTGTTGATGGACATTTAGGTTCCTTCCAAATCTTGGGTATTATAAACCCTGCTGTAGCAAACATGAGAGTGCCAATATGTCTTTGATTTACAATATGTCTTTGAATTTATTTATCTTAGGCATATACTGAACAGTGGGATTGCCAGACCATATAGTGGCTCTATTTTTAGTTAAATCAGGAACACCCAAGCTGTCCTTAATTGTGCTCCCAACAACAGTGTACAAGGGTTCCCTCCACTCCACATACTCACCAGCATTTGTTTTTGACTGACTTCTGGATAAAAACCACCTTAACTGGGGTGAAATGATATCTCATTTTGGGTTTGATTTGCATTTCTATGATGATCAGTGATGTGGAGCACCTTTTCATTTGCCTGTTTGACATTTGTATGTCTTCTTTTCATAAATGTCTATTTAAATTTTTTGTCCACTCTTCAATTGGATTATTACATTTTTTCTACAGAATTTTTCGAACTCAATATACTGTAGTGTATTAGTCTGTTTCTGCACTGCTATAAAAATTACCCG